GCGCCGGGCGCGGCGGGAGGATGCCGAAGCCGACGCTGCTGCTGCGCGGGGGCTGGGAGCGCGAGCGCAGCCCCGGGGACTCGGAGCTGGGCCGCCAGTTCCGGGACTGGTGCCTGCGCACCTACGGCGACTCGGCCAAAACCAAGACGGTGACACGCAGCAAATACCAGCGGATCGCCGAGGTCCTGCAGGGCGGCGGCGGGACCGGCGCAGGCAGCGGCCCCGCGGCCGGCGAGAAAGGCAAGTTCCAGTTCTGGGTGCGCTCCAAGGGCTTCCGCCTGGGCAGCGGCCGGGAACCCAAGATGGGCCAAGTGGTGTATGTGCCGGTCAAGACGGGCTCGGTGAGTGCGCGCGCCGTGGCCGCGGGCCGGTCCCGCCGCGGGGCTCGGGACGGGAGGGGGCGGACGGGCTAGGGCGGGGTGGGGGTGTGCATGTGTGTCCGAACGTGTGTCCCTCAGGTTGTCCGTGTGTCTGGCCCGCTCGGGGCGCACGCATCCCAGCCCACCGGCCCGCCCGGCCCGCCCCAGCAGCGCTCTGGGTTCAGGGCGTCCCTGCCCCCTCCGCGCCGCTGCCGGGGCTGTGGCCGTGCCGGGCGGGCTGTCCCGGGCTGCTCACCCCAGCATGTTCCGTCCTCTCGTCCCCTCCCCCCGCCAGCAGGCGGCTGCTCCGAAGCCCAAGCCTCCCCCCCAACACGCCCGCCCCGGGGCTGCCTGTCCCGGGCGCCTAGCGCTCCCGCCCCCGGGCCGGCTGGGCGGTGTGTGCAGGGGGTGGTGCCGCGGAGGGGGGCAGGGACAGCCATGGGACGCGGAGTCCGCTTGGCCTCCCCGCTTCAGGGGAGAGGGCCCGCCTGGGTACAGGCGCCCCGACCCCACCCGGGGCTGGCCCGGGGAGGGGCGGCCCGAGCCGCAGCCTGGCGCAGGAGCGGCCTCCCGCGGGTGGGTGGGGCGCCCTCTCCGCCCCCCGGGCCCCTTGCGCCCCCCCTCCCTGGGGCGGGGGCGGCCTGACCTATCCATCCCCTCCCCTCCCCCGTCCCCCGGGCCGACCCGGTTCGGGCGGGGTGGCGTGGGGGAGGGGACAGGGAACCGCAGCCTGCGAGAAAGAGGCAGGCGGCCGGGCGGGGGCGTCCCCTTCGGCCCGGGGCGCCCTGGAGGGGGCGTGCGGCGCGGGCCCTGCCGCTCCCCCGCCGGGACCTCATTGTTCTGCGGCGGGTGGGGGCTGGGGGGCAGCTGCTCCTGGGGCGTCGCTGAGCTTTGAACTTTCAGTCGCCGAGACCCTCCATTAGTGCGGACCGCCCCCCGGCCCGGCCCGGCCGGCGAGCCGCCCTCCCTGCCCCCCTTGCTCCTTCCCGGGCCTCGCCCGGCCCGAGCAAGCGAGCGGGGCGGCCCCGCGCCGGCCTCCCTCCCTCCTTCGCTCCTCCGCTCCCTCTCCCGCTCCTCCCCCGTCCCGGCCGCCCGCCCGCGCGCAGCCCCGTCCCCGGCCGGAGCGGGCTCTTCACACACAATTGATTCGGTCGTTACGAAAAGTGCACTTGTCCCCTCCCCCTCCCCCTCCGGCGGCCGCCGGGGCCGGGCCCGCGGGGTGAGGGGGCCGCGAGGGATGGAGGCGGGAGCTAGGGAGCCGATCCAGAAGCGCCTCCCCCCCGCGCCCAGGGGACGGGGCTGCAGGCCGCGGGGAGTGGGGCGCCGCGAGCGCGGAGGGCGGGCGGCCCATCTGCGAGGAGCGCTGATAACCGCGCCGCTGCCGCTGCGGCCGCCAGCAGCCCATCTGCGCCGCTGCCGCCTCCGGCCGGACCGACAACCAAGGGCCGGGCCGAGGGGCGCGCCGGGGCCGGATTTTCGGAGGGAGAGACCGGGCTGTGTGAGGGAAAGGCAGTGTCCTTACCCGCACGAGTCACGCCCCCTCCCCCAGCCTCAATCAGTGTGCAACACGCCGGCCCCCCCCAAGCCCGAGGTGTCTGGGTCATTGTCCCCACCTCGATGGAGTCAGGGATCTCTTCCCTTGCCCAATCACTGCCCACTTTCCCACCAGGAGCGATCACCACTCCCCAGGATAGGACAACCCTTCCCAATATGCCATTCGGTACCCCCTCATTTCTCCCCACCTTTGGGTCGGTGCCCCTAGTCTGAATTACGGTTTTCAGGATCAGTGATCCACCAGATGGTCGGCGGGTGCGTGCCCCCCGCCCTGGGTCAGTGCCCCAGCCATGAATGAAGGCTTCCCCATCCATGCCCTCTTCTGGTTATCCCTCTCTGGGAGCGGCAAGACCTAGTCTAACCGACTCTTTGGTCTGAGGTGGGAGCCCTTCTCTGTCCACTGCTAGAGTTGAGGGGCAGTGAGTGACCACCTCCCTAAGATCTGTCCATTGACTCACTGGCTCTCTAATCTTGCTCTGGCACCCCGAGTGGGCAGCCTGGGACAGTGCTCTCCCCTAAGCCACAGTGCTAACAAGGCCAAGTGCCCCCACCTCCCAGCCCTGTACTGCCAGCCCAACCCAGAGCTTCAGACCCTTCTCCAGACCTGACGGACCGCCTTCACAGCAGGGGCCTCCCAAGCCACCTCCTTGGCTCTCAGACCAATAATAAACCCTGCCCAGGGGACAGCCTGCCTGGGAGGCAGAGAAAGGGGACCCAGGCCTCCCCTCCTGGCTGCCAGGAAGCCGACAAACACAACAGACGTGCCCTCCCATGATAGCCCGCCCCTCCAGCTCCCAACGCCTGCCTGGCTGGCCTGCTGGTCCCCAGAGGGCCCCGTTAGTTACCTGCCACTCGCCCAGCCAGCCAGCCAGAGCCTGGCCAAGTCCCATCCTGCCACCCCCTTCTCCAGGCATCTTCCTGGGACTCAGTATTTTTATATTTCCATTTGCCTTTTCACTGACCTAAGAGGAACAAATCCTGCTGGGAATTGCTAGGGCAGCGTGTGGCCGCTTCCTGGGAGGAGCTCAATGGGGGACCTTCTTTGGAAGGTGCAAAGGACATCCCTCCCTTCACTGGCCTCCACACACTCGTGCATACGTATGCACTCACACGCACACACACATCACACACAATTAAAGTTAGTTGTTGTCCTAAGTGTCAGTGGGGAGTAATCTCGCAGTTTGATTCTGGATGGGTTTGTGTGAAGGTCATTGGGCTAGAAACCTTTGTCCGACTGGCATTTGTTTGTTGTGTGATTGACTTGTGGTGGCTACTGGGGAGTCAGGGTGGGCTGGACCCTGTGCTTGCTTCAGGAGTGCCCAGCTGGTAGGTGAGGTGGGCATAGCTGGCTGCATGAGAGAGAAGCCAGTGGAAGCACTGCCAGAGGCGGCAGGCAGGCAGCAGGACTTCAGGGAAGATGGTACCTGGAAGCTGGGTCACCCCAGCAGCTGGGCAAGGGCACCCAGGTGGTCACAGGTCCCAGAGGTGGCCAGGGTGTGTTATCTTCCACCCCACCCCACCCCCTGCCTCACCCCTCCTTCTCTTCCTCCTGCCATATGCAGTACTGTGGCTGGGGCCCTGCCCTTGTCCTGGCTGGCTGTGGGTCGATGATCTGACACCACTTGTCCCGTCCCATCTGGCCCTGGGCTTTTCTGGGTGTGTGTGACAAAGGCTTAATCTGTCCGGACGGGCCCAGGGCAGAGAAGAGGGCGAGGGGAATTACACTGTGCTGGGGCCTCCTGCAGCTGGGGCCCAGCAGGGGCGGGGCAGGGTGGCAGGAGCCTGAGTGTGTGTTGGGGGGAGGCAAATTGATCTTCAATTTGCAGGTTGTCACAGGAAATAGAAGGTAGAGGCAGAGGTGGGGAGGGTGGAGTCTTCCAGGGGCCGGCAAGGGGTGCTCATTGGGATAAGATCTTTTTTGAGCAGGGCCCTCCTGGCCAGACCAAGCTTGGTTACGGTTTATTATTTCTTGTGTTTGACCTGCTCTAATCTCCACAAGCTGCAGAGCAGGGGTGCCAATTCCACAGGGAATCAGGATCCCCAATTCCATGCTAGCGTGCGCCACAAAATTAACCGACTCCTCTCTTTTCCTGCCTGGAAGGATAGGGCTGTCCCCAGGGTCTGTGAGGACTACAGGTGAATACTGGGGTGGAGTCCTGGCCTTTCAACCTCCAAAAGTCAGAGAATCCCAAGGCTACCTGAGGAGAGACATTCTCAGCTCAATGACACCATCTTCCAGATGGGAAACCCCAGATGGGAAAGCGGAGGTCTCAGTGTTTCTGTTGGGATGGGGCAGAAGTGGAGCTCAAAGTTTAGCCTCAGCTCTCTGTCTCCCATCACAGATGCCCAGAAGCCCACCATTAGGGCCCCTGCCCCAGGGGGAAGTGTTATGATTACCAAACTCTACCCTTGACACCAGGCTTTTGCGAGCTGGACCCCAGGTGTCGCGCTGGCCAAATTGACTAATGGTGGTCTTTTCCCAGTTTGCAGACAGCGTTCATTTAGTGGAGAGGTTTTCACAGCCTTAAGTCTTTCTCCCTGGAGCTTTTGCATAAACCTTTGGCACCTGCGGCTGTGGGTCTGGGCGGGAAGTGGCCTCTAACTTAGCTCAGTGTAATATATGCAGTGACCTTTGATTGAATACTTCAGTATTTCCTGGTTTTCTCCAAATTATCATCACCACTTCTGAGTCACCTACTGTGTGTCTGTCATGGTGCCGAGAGGCTGATACACATCAGCTTATTGAAGTCTTGTCCAGAGGCCAGTGCTACTGTCATTGCCATTCTTCAGATGAGCAAACCGAGGCTCAGGGAGGCTGAGAACTCCCCAAGGTCACGCTACGGAATGACCCAGACCCTGAACTTGAGTGTCCCCTGAGATGCATTTTCATACTGGCCTTCAATCCAATTTGAAAAACTTAATGTCTGTCGTGATAAGGTTTCAGCCCATTACATCTTAGTCTGAATTAGCATATTTTTCTGTTTAAGATGTCTCTGGTCACAGGTAGGTACCTGGAGCAGGAGTTGTGACCTGTGAAATGCCCCGGGGGGGAGGGCGGCAGGTGGCTTTCCTGGAGGAGAATATGAGTGGGAGGAAGGTGGCTTTGCTGTCCTGGGCCTTGGGGACCGTGGAGAGGAGTTTAACAGTGACGTCTGGCCTGGGCCCCATTTGGCTTTTTCATGAGTGGCAGAAGTGGGCCATTTTGTTAATTAAGCCTCCACAAGTCGGGTGAATATGGTCCGAGGGACTCTAGGGGGCCATGCTTCAAAGCCAGGACAATGCTGGAGGGTCAGGCTCTGCCTTCTCGGTCTCTCCCTGGGTCACTTTCTCCCTGGGGGTGGGACAGCATACACTTTCTTGCGTAGGAAAGGCCTCGCGTGAACACGCTCACTTCCATGACCCCTTTGGGCCACTTTCCCATCCCTGAG